AAAAAAAAAAAAAAAAAAAAAAAAAAAAAAAAAAAAAAAAATTGAAGAAAAGCTGTCTAAAGACAAGTAGGAAAGGTGACAAATGAAATAACGAGCCCAATATATGACCACTTAAACATTTCTGCATTTGGCCTAAAGTCCAACGCCGCAAATATCTTCAATTGTGTCCATCCACTTGCAACAATGTCCCATCTTAGTGAAAGGTAAAAAGGGAATGATAGGGGTACTTTTAAAGCTTCCACTCCCTGCACACGCTAAATCAGCATTTGTTTTGCACGTACTATGAAGTAGCGTAGTTAAGTGCTCAACACGTAATTTAACACTTTTTCTTATCCTATATTTACACCAACTTATGGGACATTACACAGAATCTTTCCATCAGGTGGCTAATTATTTTGCATTACGTGTTCATATACAAGAGGCAAAGTTACATGTACAGGTAGCGGTATCACAAAAAAGTATTTTTGGTGAAGCCGCTCCTCAAGGCCATTCATTTGTAGGGCGAAATTGTAAATCCCTATTTCACATCGCTTTCTTCTTTCCAAAAAATTTGAACTCTGAATTCATACCCATGTTTGTTTTACGTTCTGTCATTTTTTTTAAGGTACAAAAAGGGAGGATTTAAAATGCGCTTAAATATTTTCCCGAAGTAATGACATTCGTACATTTAAATGTTCCTTAATGCCAAACGGTATGTAATTCCCGTCGAGCAAAGAGAAAAACGACGTATACAAATGAGAAAATCCCTCTCCTATTTAAGTCCTACATTTTTTTCGCGTCCTCCAAAAAAAAAAGAAAATATGGAAAAGAACAAATGAACACGTGCACGTACATAAAAATAATGTTCCTCAATTCATCTCGCACACGTAGGTGACATTTTTTTTTCTCTGTTTTTTTATTTTTTCCTTTAAATTTTACATTCCCCAAATGAATGACAATCCCAATTGAGACAAAAGTTACCCATCCCTTCACACAAAAACAGGGGAACATTACAATGCAAAAATGGACACATATATAATGCCACACATATGTGTATTTATGTGTACGCATAACTTCGCGACATCTTGAGGAGGTACTATCCTTTTTCACACAACGAACAAATTTTCCATTGGGCACAGCCCTGCTAACGGATACACAAAAAACAATCGACAAAAATAAAGATAACCTAGTAGAGGCTATACCTGTGCATATGCATTTGTGTTCCCCTCTCACCTTCACCCATTTTTACAAACTCTACAAGTGATATTTACAAATTTAGCCACAAAAGGAAAGGATAAAAAAAAGGTCAATCCAACACATCAGTAAAATGGAAAAAAGCATGTAGGAAAAAAAAAACAACAAAAAAAACAACTAATTTAGCACAAGTAGAAAATGCGCACACCCGCAATAAGAAAAAATACATATATACATATACTGACACAATTAAACGACAGTTTTTTTTGAAAAAATGTATGCGTAAATTTTTCCCCAGATTGAAGCAAGACATTATAAATTCTTTAAAGACCTTAATTAACAATAATTTGAAGGGCAGCGTCTTCAAATGCGATAGTAAGAAGGAAATTACTGACAACCTTTCCAATCTCATAAAGGACCATTTAAAAAGTAAAAAAAAAAAAAAAAAGTAAAGCAAAATAAATGAAAAAATAGCCAATACACACAACTCCCCCCACTCAACACACCTTCCAATAAATGACGCTTCATTAACCGCGCACTAACTCCACAGGCTTAACCTCAAACAAATATAAAATTGTTGTTGAAATTCTTCTTAACGAAAGCAAAGAACAAGGGATAAAGTAAATAAAAATAGCATAAAAAAAAGAACAATGTGCATATCCGTTCACCATATAGTAACACGTTTCTCATTTCCTCCGATAGTGCAAAACACATACCAATGCTGTGTTAACCCAGTTAAGACTCAATAATATGCACCACTTTTCTTAAAACATATTCTTTCACCTTCCCTTTATCATCCCATCACAGTGTTTCTACTAGGCTTTTTTTCGACAAACAGTCAGATTTTTTTTTTAAGGAAAGCATCAACACTGTAATGACTAAAAAAAAAAAAAAAAAAACGCAGAATCATGTGCATATACCAACATATGTACATATGCACACATGCAGCGAGGTTCTTCACAGAACGAAACAATACACCAGCGTGTAGAACAAACATTAAGACACATACACCAAAATGAAATGAGTATTCTGTCTTCTATGCTCTAAGTATGTTTATGCAAATCTGCCCTTTGCACTAAGTAGAGCGAGTTTTCCCCACATCTTATTCACCCCACTATGTATATTTTTATTTATAACACTTTGTAGGATAACTTTCACTGTTTTGTGGTGGTGTACTTAATTCATGTGTAGAACACAATCAGTAATTGTAACCGCAAAAGAAGAGTTAAACATTTTCACGTGGACATACGAGGTGAAGGGGCCACTACTATGCGAAGTTTATCTGAATAAGTCTCTTCGTCATTCCACTATGTGAATTTACCAAAAGAGCTAAACCATTTTGTGCATATACGTATATGCATACCAAATGGATATAACATAATTTATTCAAAAAAAAAGAAGAATTATGCTTTTTTAAAAGACAAAAAAAAATTTTTTTCCGTAACAACACTGAAATAGTTACGATAAAATGTTTTAAAAAAATGACGTAAAAAAAAAGTTGTGCGCTCACAATTTCTATATACGACCCTGTTTATTTGTACATGTACCTTTTCACTTTGTCATAAACACGCAAACTATGCGCCTGTAGGCCCATCCTTCACGCCTTCGCAAAAGAAATAACCTTTTCACCTTTACTCGTGCAGTATAATCTGCGGTGTCCCTTACACACGATATATTACGTGTAAACAAACATGCCATAAAAAAAAAAAAAAGGAAAAAAAACAAATTATAAAAAAAAATATATCAAAAAGAAAATAAAATACATCCAGCATAGCTCTTTTCTGTGTAGGCTTCCCACAGAGGACAATTTTTAAATGGCGTTTTTGTTCCCCCTTGAACAGTTCTAGCAGCACAAATGGAGCATTATACGTTTTCGCCATTTATAACTGTACCCCTTTTTTGGATACAAACTGCTAATATTTGACCCATTCGCAGCATTATGCACGAAAAAATAAACCAAAAATAAATAAGCCCTGTTAAATAAAACATCTACAAAAAAGTGCACCATTTATTCGTATATTCATGTATAGGGAAAAATCAATCCACACATTCGACACATATTTGATGTTCCGCTTAAAAAATATAGGAGGCGGCAAAAGCGTTAAAAGTGCTGCTTCAATTTGAACAAAATGCATGTCAAAAGTGCAACAAAATTTTATAATCTATTTTCGATTCTTAATTTTCACAACAAGAAATGAAAACCGTTGGTTCACTAACTTTGCGTGAGCGTGCAACAGCATGTTAAGCAACCTGATGCATTTTCTCTTTCGTTAAAAAAAAAAAAAAAATCCACAAAAAAAAAAATATTTAAAATGATTATAAAGCTTCCCCGAATGAGTTAATAAATATGTAAAAACATATTTTGCACTACAGAGAAAGACATACAATGCAGCACTTAAGCAATATGAAATGTACACCAAGTTGCTAATTTTTCCTTTTCATTCATTTGGTGTCATTCACTCATTGGCGTCACACATCTCACATGTACAATAGGAAAAATTAAAAATTGCCATTATGCTAACACCCACGTGCTTTGACCAATCTACCATTTATGCTTTGGGGGGGGGCGACGGCGGGGGGAAACGGTCATCACATCCAAGGTGGTTCACTCCACATGCCCCCTCACGTGAACCCCACAGCGTGGTTTCTCAACACGGTTACACAGGTACATATAATTTTCTTTCATATGTACGTTCAAATGTGCGCTCATATATGCGTTCATGTATGCGTCTATATATGCGCACATATACATATGTGCATATGCGAATTTACACAATCAGCGCACATTCACCTCCCCACTTGCGCATACCGTTACTTTCTCACTACGTGGTGCAGCCCATCAACAAAACTGCCAAGCATGCAAAATGTACAAAAAAGAGGAAACAATGTTTTTTTTACTCTGTTCAGGTGAAAGAAACACTGGAAAAGCTAATCACATATGCGCACAAAACGGGCTTTGCACGGAAACAATTTAAGCTCCTTGAGTACATATCAAGATGTTACACAGATTTAATGATAAGCTGAGCTGAAGGAACAGCCTGGAAAAAAAATTAATTTGTGGATTTTTTTGCATGTAGTACTAATCGCCAAACCAGTACATATAAATGCATATTTATACATTTAAATATGTATATATAAATTTATATATATTTATATATACGTAAATTCGTTTAAAAATATACACGCCAGAGCCTCAGGGGGAAGGGAATTTATAAAATGATCACAAACGACAACACACTCCAAAAAAAAAAAAAAAAAAAAAAAAAAAATTTATATATGAACAAATATATATAAACGCGTGTAAACCCAGTTATACATGTTTTTTCACATAAATTTTTATACAAATATGTAAAAATATATTTTTTCTCATTGCTATAAAATTTTTTCCAACCATGATGATTTATTTTATCTGCATTTCATCAAAAAAAAATTTAGTGGTCTCATTTTTACATGCAACAAAAAAAAAAAAAAAAATAATATTTTTTTTTTTTATAGCTGTATGATAGATTAAACCTAAATATGTTTTTTAGCAATAATCTTAGTGCACCTACATACTTTAACATTTTATCCTTTTTATGATTTGTTTTTTCTTATTTTTTAAATTAAAAATGCATTTTTCACATTTTGGAAAAGAGAAACTGAAAACATATGACAAAAAAAAATAAAGCTACAGGAGAAATATCATGCATATGCAATATCACTGGGTACATAGCTTTGCTTGGAAACGACAAACATTTGTACGCTCAAATATATAAGTGAATGCTTTAACCACATCCTAACTGCAACATAAATGCGTAAAATATGCCGCAGTACAAAGAACAAATACATGAATGGGTTGAAAAAGCGTTTTTCTTATTTTTTTTTTCCCTTTTCATCATAGCGAAAGGGAATAAATGTATGTGTTTAACAAGTGTGCATACATATAGGGCATGAACCTACATAAGTATGCAAGAACACAAGCTTTTACTTCTGTGCAATGTCACCTGAATGAACAAGTTTATGTAAATGCAAACATATATTATGTAAAAATAAAGCAAACATTTATGTAAGCATCCTTTTTTTTTTTTTTTTTTTTTTTTGCGCCACTTTCACACAACTGTTTTTTAAGTTCAAACGGGATACTTAATTTGGTGTTAAGCTAATCCTATGACTGTGCTTCTTTTTATTCCTCCCATGTTAGCTTAACATACAAAATGTTATATGAAAAACAAATAGCCAAAAGTTGTGTATGCCTATGTGTAAATATGCATGTACACGGTCATTTGCACAAATGGTAGTGGTTATTTTGCAAAATTGTTCTTAGTTACATTTTCGTACATTTCATCATGGTTACGCTTCCCCGTATTTATTTGCATTTACTAACATTTAATTAAATATTAACGCAAGAAAAACCGTTGTCGCGATATCCCATGCACACACACACACACACCGTTGCAGAACCTGCATCCCACAAATATATTGTGGCGGAGGTGTAAAACAGTTGTATATTTGTTCACCTATCTTTTATAAAAAATTCCTGTTCATTCGTCAATATTTTGTTACCTTTCCTCGTTATTTTCTATTTTCATTTATTCGTATTTCTCGCAATTTTTTTTTTCCTGTTCCTTCGTACCATCGTGTGTTTTAATTCATTTTTTCCACACCCATAGTGAATATCCCATCAAAAAGAGGGCACCTTTCAGATCGTGAAACGATACACCATTTTTCCACGCATAATTTCCCAACCATCAGCACACATAGGAATGGTCACACAACCTACACGAGTGTGAGACAAGAATTAAGGAAAACGAAAACGAGCGAAAAAGGAAACGAAAAGGCAAACATCTGTACCTGCACATGTTCGATGGATAAAACTTAAACACACGCACTTCCCCCACGTTGCGCATATGTACATCTACACATAAATACGCGCACCTTGACGCGTACATATATATATCTACACATGCGACAACTAACAGAACAAACAAGGCGTCTAAAATGAATAAACTGCCACCATCCCTAGCAAGACGCATTCATTTTTTAACTTATCTTTCTGTCATCCCCTTGATTTATGAGAACAAATCGTGTAATGTGCCTGGAAGCAGAGATAGACACCAATAGACCATCTGCAGATTTGATAACTACACATAGTACGAACCACCAATCGATTCATCATTTATAAGTAGATCTACACTTAGCACGTAGGGGAAATTATATGTGCCCTCGTGAAAGTTTCTTGTACCCGCGTGAACACTCTCTGAACCGGAGAAATGTCTGCGTAACTAACGCAACATAGTACAACACAATGGCATGTGCCACTGCCCTGCACAAATGCCTTCCTTCTGCGCATATATCCAATTCGCCTTATATTTTCATCTTGCATATTTGTGTAAGACTCACTTGTTCAGTCCTCGCTTTCGCTTCTCACTCCACCTGTTCTTTTCTTTTCTTGTTTCCTTTGTTCTTTTTTTAAATAAAAAATGAGAAAAGGGAAACCGAGGCATGTGCCAATGTTTCTACGAGGGGAAAATAAAAAAATATTTTTTACATTTTTTTCATATTTTATGTCAAAAAATGAGTTAGATATCATCTTTCAGCATTATGATATTGGACTAATTGTTCTCACCAAAATTCACAACATAAGAAAAAAATATGAAGATGAAAAAAATAGCATGCAGAAGGATGAAAATAAGCTGGACGATGAAGATGTGGAGTCGTTTGAACAAAAAGTCAGAACCTTTTTCTTGAACTATAAGATGGACCCTCCACATGGCCAAAATGAGGACATACAAAAAAAGAACAACAATAGCCATAAAAACGATGGAAGAAATGTCATAAATGAACAAACAGATAGGGAGAACTCGAACAAAACAGACGTCTGGAGGAGTAATTCCTTTCGATCGATTGCAAAGACGGAGGATACAAAACGCGAAGGCGATAATAACGGACTTCATAGTGTAGCGGAAAGAGCACCTGAAAGTTTTCACCACAGTGATAACCACAGCCTGTTGCAGGATGCCAGACAAAGAACCCCTGAAAATGCAGATATTAATATAACTCCACAGATCAATCCCCACGAAATAATTTGCAACGATGTTACCAACAGAAGTACGTTAAAATTAGAAGGCACCATTAACAATCATGAAATGTGCAGAAGAAACATAAAATTAAAGCTGGAAAAATGCCAAGGTGAAATTGCGCCCAGTGTAAGTGAGTACCAGGAACAGGTAGATAATAACACCCGCACTAGCTGTCACAACACATTGAGCTCAAATGATAATCCTTCCCTTAAGATAAAAAATTTGAATCATGAGAACCATAACCTCATAGAAACAGAAAAAAGAAATGCACAGGAAATAGCAAATCTTATCAAAATAGAAGCAAGTGGTGAAGAGAAAGATAAGGTCCAAATGAGGACAGGTCAATGGGGCCAGAATATACAAGCGCAGCAGCGCCTACAGCAGGATAAGCAAACACAAGAATCTAAAAACGCAGAGAGGAAAAAGGAGAGTACAGGGGGAAAACAACGTGTGTCGGTGGAAGTGAAAAGGGAAATTGTGCGAAATGAAGCAGACGTGGGTGAAGACTCAAATGGTGAACAATTAAATGGTGCGAGCAAGCATCATAAGGGCGAGAAGATAAAACCCAGAGGAGAGCCAGATGATACAATTTTCCCCGCAAGAAAGAAAAACGAAACTTACAAAAAATTCAGCAAAAGGATCAACAGAAAAAAAATAAACGAGTTTGTAGACTACCCAGACGAACATTGCTTTTACATCACGGATCTGTGCAAAAAAGGAACCATGCTATCGCTCAAGAGGAACCAATTAACAAACCAACATAGAGATAAATATAAATTTTCCTTTTACCCAAAATTTACAAACCCTCTAGGAACAAACCAATACCTCCCATTAAGTAGGCAAGTACCGCCTTTAAACAATATGCGCATGAAACTGAACTTATTTAAGCAGCTAAATCAGAAAACATTTACCCCTGGCACCCTTAATGAATTAGGTCACCCACAGAATAGTAATGAAAAAAGATTATCTAATGCATGTGCCTCATTTAACGAGTACTACATTTTACACAGCTGTTACACAGAAGATGAAAATCACTTGTCTAACCACACCTATACCCTCGATAATGTCGAAAGTGTAATTTATAATACATGTGACTGTACATCCTTCATGAATTTACAAAATGTTGTTTGCGACTTGAACGGGGTGGATATCCCACTTGAAGGCAGAAATGCAGGCAACCAAAGCGAGACACGTGTCCTCAGCTTTAACAGCATGCAGGGGGATAACGAGAAAGGAGTTGTCGCACAGAAGGGCGAAGCATGCAAAGGGGACATCGCCGCAACGAATGGCAGAGGTGACCATAGCGCTACCACCAAAAGCAGAAGCGATTCATGTGAAATATTAAAAAAAGACCAACACGATTTCCAGAATAAAAAAGCACGGCAGGGTGGGGAAAATATTGCTAAAGGGAAATTCAGTGATGGGCAGAAACACGGTGAAGAAACAGAACAACAGATCAACCCAGTGAACCATTTAACCGATCTCGTAAAACGCGAACCGACACTTCCCACGAACGATCATCACCACGAAATGCATATTGAGGGAGATTGTATTTTATGCTCAATTGATCCCAATGGTGTGGCAACCCCTGAACAAAGGAATGAACAATTGTTGACTATGAACGCCCACTTGGAAGACAACATCGCCTCCAGTAACAGCCATCCAAATAGTACTTACCCGCCATATTCACCATTCCCTTTCAACTCAAATTTTCAAGGAAACCCAATGATAAACAACCACCTTAGCAGCAATAACGTAGAGAATTATTTCACCAACGCGGATTCCACAAATTATAGGATTATAAATATGAGCTTCAACCCAAATAGCAGCATAGCAACAAATGTGTACAACAACCCTGTGACGAACCTCCCCAACAATAGTATGTACCCCATGAATAGTAACATTTATATCCTTAACAGTAAAAGCATAAATATATTGTCCGATGGGAACATCCTTACAGATAATCCCCTTCCAAATTGCAATTTAAATGATAACTGCTTCAAAAATGACTTACCTCATGCAAGAAAAAGTTTTTCTCATAATAATTATTACCACCATTTAAATCCATACTACATGTTCAAGTATAATAATGATCCGGCCATGACCAACCACAATTATCACACCAATGGTTACGCCAGAATGAACAACCGAAGCAGCACTTACACTACAGGAGGAATAGACAACAGAATTCATATCTTCGCAGATAGGCAGTACATAAACATGTTTCCAAAAAATTGCACCAAAAGGAGTTCCAGTGATAGAAATCCTTCCAACCAAGGCACTTCATCGCAGATATGTAACCACAACCTCACTCCCTACATGTGTAACCAGAACGAACATTTAAACCATCAAACAAACAGTACGAATAGTCTCTTCCATACGAATCAGTACTCTGAAAATCATATTGGAAGCACTCTACATAGAGACAAAGAGGAAGGCAATTCTCAAAATGTATCAGCAGCAAACCCTAACGAACTACTCAACATGTCTTACAAGGATAACGTGAATCTATGGGGCACATCAATACCTGGGGAATCTTTCCACAACACCAGACCAATCAATGTGGAAAACCAACCTACCCCTTTTGACAACATTTTAATTGACGTCCAAAATACACATGAACAACATGTAAAAAAAATGCAATCCCTGCTAACCGATTCTTCAAGTGGACAAATTTGCTCATTTAAAGATGAATTATCCGTTGGAAATGAAAACGGCGATAGAGTCCCGGAAGCAGAAAAATCGAGCTCAGAAAACCACGTCAAAGGTAAGAATATGATTACGCATGGGGAAAGTCACAATAATAACGAGGAAGCAACGCAGGTGGACCCAAACAACCACCCGCTTCACACAGAAACAAATTACCCACATATTCGCATCGCCAATAGCGAAGAAGCGCATCAAAGCGAAGTCTCACATTATGCATGGTCAAATAAATCTCACGTGGGAGAAAACAAAGAGTTAGGAATTGCGGGGGATGTAATATGTGTAGCAAACGTCCGAGCAGATTTTCCACACGACAATGAAACATTGAGAAGGTATAGGAACACGCCAAAATGGGAAAAGCATGAACAGGCGGATTTGAACTGGATGACCATGGGCAAAGTAAGTAGACAGGGAATCGACTTAGATGACATTCCGAACCACGTCTTTCGCCCTGATTCTCAACAGCAAACGCAACAACGGTACCTGCCCCACGCGGAAGACCCCCACTTTTCGGAAAACGCGCAACACAAACATGTCAACGAGAAGAGCAGCATCTTCCCGTCTGCGTTGAACCAGGGGAACAGCCCCAAGTCGCAAAGCCCCATTAGTCCCCTCTACACGTATGAGCAAAACGACGCAGGGAATGGAACGAAAACACACAGCAGCAACAGTGAAGTAATTATGTACCCCTCACAGTACTATGTGAATTACTTCCCCGATCCCATAAAGAGCGAACCTCGTTTTGATGTCCCAAATGTGTATAATCAAATGAGTGAAGAAAATAATGGTGCTCCAAATTACCATGTTGAGAAAAATAATTACCCATCGCATATTAACAAGACGGACGAAGTTGTCCTTCTAAGCACACCAGAAGGTAAATTTGCTTACACGAATGAACCCGCACCATGGCTACAACTACACAAAAAGGACGAACCAAATGATGCCCATTTCTTCAACAGCAATGAACAAAGAAACGACACCAACTATGCCCTAAATCATGTAAATTATTTCCCATGGCAAAATGAGTACTACAATAAAGAAGACAAAAACAATAGGGTTAATGAAATTAACAAAATGCTCGTTAGGAATAGTGAAAATTACGTTTTAACGAAGCAAGAAAATTATAGGAATGCCACACATAACACTGTACACTTCGAACCACAGGGTATGAATAATGGTACACCTTCGATGGAGAATTATGAACTAGTGGACTGTATGATGGATAGAAATGTAAATATGGACATCATAAGGAACCAGCTCAACAACAATGGGCGCAGTACTCCTAACGGGAAGCTCGGAAAAAGCGTGGCCATGAATGCGATAAATAGAACAAACGAGATGAACGATGTAAACACGATTAACAGAATAAACGAGATCAACGCTTTAAACGCGATTAACACCATGAACACCGTCAATACCATCAAAAATGTAAACAACATGAACATCTACACAAACAGCCTTATAGACAAAAGAATAAACCAAAATGAATTCCCACCTGAACACTTCCACTACCCACAAAGCCACAACCTAATTGTGGACAACTACTTTGTGGACTCCCATTTCAACACGCCACAACACTTGCACTATTACACAGAGGATCAAGTGATGCCCACAAACCCTCCACACATGAATGCTCATTATACGCAAAATAAATTCTGCTCCTTGCAGAATAATGATCATTTTGAACCTAGCAACATGGAAACAGTGCAGCATACTCAACACGATAATTACCACAATATGATTAACACCAATGGAGAAAATATAAGAATGGTTGATCCATATCGCGTGATGGAAACCAAAAATGATGTTCATCACACTTATATGCCCTACCATTTTAACTACTACAATGAAGGGCTTAACACAAATTCCTCCTGCTATGGTGGCAATGTAGACAACATGAACACATTTAATGATGATGAGATAAACGTTTCATACAACCACTCTTACTTAACTCAGCAAAATATGCATAATCATTACGACAATGCAAATGAACGAAACTTGTATGAGCAGGGCGTACTTAACCAATTTAAAAATACCCATCGGGAAAACCCCTGCCCGTTTTACAACCCATTAAGTACATATGCAGAAGGCAGCGTCACCAAACACGGGCTCGCCTTCAGACACATAAACCAGAGCGACAACATGCATTCGCACAGGGGAAATGCGCAGAATGTTGGGCAAATCCACGACAACCCTAGCCGCAACCGGGACGGCTTTGATCAGAACAGTGAAGCGAAAACTGATGGAACAAATAACAACGCTAGTGCGGGAAGTAGTATTCGAAATGAAAACAATATCACCAACAGCAACAATAATGAAGGCGACACGAGCATCCGAACACACACCTTTTTCAACCACGCAACGAACAACCTATATAGCCAAGCCAACATGGACACCACACAAAACCATAGTGAAAATGACACAGCATATTCACACACGCCAGGAAGTGACAACATTAATAAAATAAATGAAAAATATCACTCATCACAGATAGAAACAAATAACAACCTATACGGTAGCATCGAAAGCGACGTTACTAAAAGCAATTCTCTGTCCAACTTCTTGCAGAGCGAACATAATGATCATTACGAAATGATTAGCAGTTTAACACCTAGAGAATCACCCAACTGGTATATTAATGCTACCAATAACAAAAGACATATGACCAATTTCAATTCGAATGCCACCGCTGAAATGGTGAGTTTTAACAACACCGCAGATGTGTACAATGTGCAAACGACAGACGACATAACAAATGTGTTCTCCAATAACTTAGAACAAATAAATTGGGACCACTTCTTACATCGCACGAATCATACGCACCATGATACAACCGTGTGCAATTTTCATCACAATGGCAGTGGACAAGACAGTGAGGTAAGTACAATTCATATACAGAATCTACCAACTTATAACAATTTGGCTAGCTTGAATGACATCCTCCCAAACAGTCTCACTAGCGGGATGACTAACCAAACGAACAGCAGCAGTTGTTGCACAAATGGCGTCACCAACTACAACCAGTGTAGTACTTGTAAAAGCATACCAGTAACCAATTTAACCTTAGGAAAAATGAAAAATGCAAGTATAGGAAAAGACAGCTGCCCCAGTGATGTACTCATTTTTAGTAACCGCACACATGCCCACACGAGTGATGATAACGGGACGGACAAACGGTTAAACCAGTTGTGCGGCGACCCAACAAGTGAAAATAGCCTTGCTATGGTAAAACAGGAAAATGAGTTTTCCACGGATAGAGATACAAATGGAGATGAACAAAAGGACGCAGACCCGTACGGTCCACAAAATAACCAACTCCAACAAATATTAAGCCATTTGAACCCATATAATGAAAGCTATAACGTTATGCAGCCCATAAATTATGGCCCTCATTTCCTTAATGAACAAAATTATCATCCATATGTTCCTCCCCACAATTTTAACCTAATGAACGGCCATGATGAAAACAGCGACGCGAGTTCTAAGAACACATTTTTCTGCATAAACAAAGGACCCATGTCCGAACAAACCAACAGTACCATTACGTACGACATGACTAACGAAGTGAACCCCTTCCTAAGCAATACAAAGAAGAGTGATTACAACACCAACTTTTATAATATACATAATGGGGTGGAAGTAAAAAAAGAAATATTCTCAAACGATTTAGAAGACACCACAACTGTTGATAGTTATCACAATGGGTACCATCTAACATGTGACCCAAATGGGGATAAACGAAACACCCCAATGAATCACAACAATCACATAGGTTCTCCTAATCTTCGTATGCTCAACTCGTGCCAGAACACGTACAATGACACATCAAATGAACTCCTAAATTACAAACATCAACTGTGCAATAATATAAACGACGTAAATGCACTGGGCAATAATTTGATGAATGCCATTGGGTTAAGCAAGACGTGCACACTCACAGACAATCTATACGGTATGCCAAATTTGAGACAGCAGAAGGGGGAAAGTGGAACACCATCAAGTTATCCAATCAACGAAGAGTCCAACAACACAGAGGGAAATAACCCGATTGCCACAACATGTATGAACGATATAAACAAATGGATCACTCCGAAGGAAGAGAGGATGGAACATGTAAATTCCTTGCTGCCCTGCACAAGTAGGAATAACAACCCAAACGACACCAACAAATTAAGCTCCTTTTTTGGTAACACCGTTGTAAGTAGAAACTGCCTGCATAATAAGAACCAATTTTTGCAGCAGCAAAGTGCCTTGTACAACATTTTAGGAAATGGAGGTAGTGTCCTCGGCAAAGAAATTGTTGACTACGATCAGATGAATTTCAACTGCATGAGAAATAATAATTATAATACCTACATGTATTTGTTTTATTTATATAAACAAATGGAGGGCAGAAATCACATAGACAGTAAACATGCAGCAGAGGGGGAAAATGATGCCAGTGGAAGCATCCATATCCGTAAGAACTTAATGAATATGGACAAAATGCCCACCCCCTTGTGTAATAGTAGCATCCCCAATGGCACGAACGCGAAATGCGAAAAGTACGCTAATGATGGGCCCCAAAACAGCCAGAGAACTGGAACACAACAAAATGCAAACCAAGACAGCATAACCCATTACACAGAAACACAAAACACAATTAACAACAGACCTTTGGATGCAGACTCAGGCAGAAATGTGAGCATCGAAATGGACAGCTACATTGGAAATTATCAAAACCAACTAAACAGCATTAACAACGTTAGGGATAACTTACTCAATGCTAATGTATATGACGTAGGCGTTCTCAATAAAAATTATCCACCAAATTATCCTTTGCATATATTAAACTGCAACACGGTAAGTAGCAACATGGTAAGCAGCAACACGCTTAGTAACAATTCGCTTTGCCTAAATGTATTAGACAGTGTACACCCGGTCCAGTATACTAATTATAGTACGCAACATTTGACTCAAAAGAATAAGCTCCCAATAAATGATGAGCGTAAAGACCACATAGGCAGTAATATTAACCTCTCTTCTAACCAACTGAAGAACCTCCTCCACAGAGACCATAGAACACAAAACAGTGCGAACCCACTCCACATTCCTCTGATAAATTATTACAATATGCAATTGTTACTCAACTACGTGAGGGAAAAACAGATGTACAATTCGATGAACCAAGACACTGCACAGGGTGCCACTGATATGAGCGTCAAAAAGTGCGATGGAGGTCATGTGACTACCAAAATGAACGGGATCGCGAACAGCAATGGAAACGACTACGACAGTAAGAACAGCGGTGATAGCAAAAGCACCCCCAAGGAAGGTGCAAAAGTTGGTGGGAAAACGAATGCCAAAGGGGGGAACACCAAAAATTTGAGGAAGCACAGCTATTCTATATCCTCTGTGGGGTTCAGCAACAGAAGTAAGAGGTAAGTCCAAGGGGACCCTTCTATGCCAACCCATATGTGCATGTGTATATATGTGTACATGTTAAACTCCGTACCAATCTCCACCACATGCCGCTAACCCTTTTTATGTGGAAACTCTCCCTAACACACACAAACTTTTCACACCCCGTCGCAGATGGACCATTTGCCCCTCTTACGTTTGCTGCAACAGCGCCCTATGCAGATTCAAACTAACGTGCAATTTCAAATTTTTGCAATTCAACCAGGATTATAATACGTTTAACACCCCATGCGCTGTATATAACTGCTACAAAAATATTATGAACAAACATAATTACTTTACCTCCACATTGTGTCCACAACAAACTTACCTGTCCAAACACTCAGCACAGGTACGCATTGATATTATTTTTTTTTTTCACGACAGTTACGTAGTAAAGTACTCACCAATAGTGCACACATACACTTATGTGCATTTTTTTATATACTTCCATAAGCATGCTTGTTTTACCTCCCTATCCCTACCGCTACCCCCCTGCTCAGGAGCACGAAACGATTTTCAACGTGTACTGGCACCTACTCAACAAAGAAAAGTATCAATACATACAAAACATTATCCTGTTCCTGGACAGCAATTTATACACCAGAGCCGTATGGTTACTAAAAAAAGGCTACAGTATGGATGACTTCCAAGTCCAAAAGGCGGAAAGAAAATTGATAAAATTGATGCTCCTAGTTTTTAAATTTACCCATGATTATAAAAATGACAGTGATAAATATGAGCATATAAAATCCTTCCTGTATTCTCTGAAGAGTAGCCACATCAATTTTGAGCTCATGAATCGCTTCCTCTTCTATTGAGCGCTCCGCATAAGATATACACATAGGCATGTATATGCACATATGTATGTCTATGTCTACCTATGCATTTGTTTATATACATGCCTATTTATGTGTATTTCTATTTGTGTGCGCGTGCGCACCCCCCCCTGTTTACAAATTTGTACACTACACATGTGCGTCTCTCCAACAGCAACCATCACCACCACCCACATAAGCATATCAACATGTTTGCTACAAAATTGAGCTGGCGAAAAGCAATTGCGTGCACCTGCGCTAGACAGATATACCGAATATGAAACGCGATACATGCCTCCTTTCCTTGCACACCTTGTGTACACCCCTTCACCACCCTAGTATATATTTTTTCCTGATAAATGACCCCCAAACTACCTTTGGAGCAATGACAAGGGACATAATTATGCTTTTAAAATTTAGTAGATATTTCAATTACAGATTAAGAGACGACAATCTAACTCATTCGGCTCTTTCCAAATGGGGCAAATTTGTTTTTTTTTTTGATGATGGTTAACACGTAGAACAGACCCAGAAAAAAGGGAAACAATTCAATCAAGTAACCGTTTGTGACCTTTTGCTTCATTCATAATTTTTTCTTTTCGCATAAAGGGCTTCCTTACATTGGGTGATGTCACATAAGTTAAGTATTAATGGGTGTAAAACTCACAATGAACAAATTAAAACGATGCTTCTTAAAAGTTTGAGAGAAACACAAAAAAAATTAAGCAGCTTTCAATGCAGCTGTCCACATGGTATGTCCTGCATACCGAATCAGCGCTTAAACACATGCCTTCAATTTCACTTAATCAACAAAACGGTGGTAACAAAAAATTGCAGCAAGCAAATGGGGAAGAAGCAAATCAACAGCCTGTTCTTCTTTATAAACTTTGCCAGAATGAGGATGCAATCTGCAAAAAAAAAAAAAAAAAAAAAAAAAACACATTTACTATTTTTCACCTATTTACAAATGTATAAAATAAAAAAAGGTACTTTACAATTATGACTTCAAATGCAGCGCCGCAATCTCTACTCATTTCACGAAACTGGCGCACTGCTGCCCCAGTTCACCACTCATATGCGCGATGCTTACTGTACGTGGACCACACGACCGACCAAAGGGAAAATAAAAGCCGAAGCATTCGACAAGGCACGAGCAAATTCACCACAGACGCAAACACCAGCGGAATTTGGGCATAGCTAATGATGCACAAGAGCTGAAAAAAGTGTCTAAATAGACGGTGAAAAGGGAAACATGCATATGTGTCCATCCGTAATCATAAATGTAAGCATGTGCCCAAGAGGAATTGTGCTCCTTCAAACATTTCCCACAGTGGACACAGCCGAAGCAACAATTCCTAATGGTGAGAAAACAATACGCGCCCCTCTTACATATTTGTGTGCAGCAGGGATAAATTGAGGGAAACCAAAATATGTCCAATGATGAAGGAAAAAAAAAAATATGCAAAGGTGTTCTTCTTGTCAGAGACTTCCTTATCTAAAAATATGATTCTTCGGTGAGGGAAATAACAAGGGTTGGAAGAATGAATGTCTGTACACACCTTCAAATGCACGCACATATATGTTCATAAGCGCGTCGTCCTGAAAAGACCGAAAGGACCCGCCGTATAACTTGCGACATTGTCAATAATGGTGCGGAGGCCCCCTCCACCTCAGTCAGCAAATATTACATGGACAGTGTTATGTAGACAATAAAAGATCCCCATAAATCCCCTAAATGAAAGGAGGTAAAAAATAATAATAAATAAAAATAATAAAATTACACACCAAGATGATCAAAAGTGATATAAATGGACAAAAAAAAAAATACACAAATATACTTCTCTCCAACTCGTTTCTCCCACTAATATTCCAAATAAGCATTACATTTCTTTACGGTGTTATCGTCATCGTACTGGTGAAAGCAAATGTGCAATATCTTCTTGTAGATACTTTTTGCGTCTCGTATCTGCGTTTCGAGAGCAACGGCGAAGAGGGGGGGGAAAAGGAAAAAAAAATAAATTTACACATATATACATATATACATATATACATAAATTAGCAAAGCGACACTATGTCAGATGCCTAGCTGCTACAAAATGAAGAAGCGAAATTATATCACCCTTTTGGCAAACCCCGGCGATTCCCTCTCATCGCTTCTTCTCATACATACACATGTATATATATGCATATATACACACTGCGCGTCCAATTTTGTTTGTATCCAATGGGACAGCATCCCATTTTTTATTTTTCAAACCACTGTGTCCGTAACAGGCTCATCCATTGAGAACTCATAATTCGTAATATGTGGAACTTTAAAAAAAAAAAAAAAAAAAAAAAAAAAATGAACGTGTTACCACGCAGATATGTAAGCTGCGAAAATTATAATGAACAGGAAGATCTTTTCAGGAAGACCTGACGGTTACCTGTTGCCACCATGGTGTACACCTTTCTTGTTATTTCCACTTGTTAGATTCGATTGTCAGCTGCACGTGCCCCTGTCTATTATTTTCTCTTAGCTTAAAACGTGTCCTGGTCGAGCGCACTCTCCTTTACTTGTTCGATATGATTCCATGCATACACACTAAGATACACATGCGTACGTGTTTCTCTCTCTTTTTTTTTTTTAAATGTGCAACGAGCACAGCAAGTGAGTTCCCTCTGGGTTAAACCAACTCCGCTCTTACTGTTTCGCTGCTTCCTTATACACTTCAACTTTGCATTTCTTTTCATCCCTTTTTTTTTTTTTTTCTTTTATTGGAAATTTCCTCCGTTTCCGCATATTTCCGCGTTTTGTAATTTTATGTGAACATTTTTTTTTGTGCTATATGACACAGGTTTACTTAAAATTAACACTTATTTCGCTCTCCTTGCTTCATCAGCTTATTATTATTATTTTTTTTTTCTTCACTTGTTCGCCTTGGCAGTTTAATCCTGCTTTACTTTGTTCAATTTTTCCCTAATGCATGAGTTATAACACGCCATTCTTGTCATTTTTAATTTTCCTTATAATATAGTGCTGCATTTTTTTTTAAGAACGCGAGTGGCGCCCATACAAATGTATAGGTACATATGTGTATGCATTATCGACAGGAATATTTTTCCTTTTTTTTTTTTTTTTAAACCGGTTAAAACGTCTAACAGGAACGGGAACTGCTGGAAAAAAAGCGTTCAGGGAGAATTCCCATTTTGCCTTTCAACCAAATGCGCACAACTTTGAGACATTTTCTTTCTTTTTTTTTTCCCCCCTTCAAATCTTTCCAATGAAAAGGAGTAATTTTTTTTTTTTTTCTTTCCCAATTAACATAAGTGCATTTAAAAAAAAAAAAAAATGAGAATAAATAGGTACACTATTTTGTCATAAAATGATAAGATGGCCGAATAAGCAAGCTGTACATCTTCATGACAAAAATTGAAAAACCATTCAACTCTGTGTAATGAAATTTCAACATTTTAAATCCTTAAAGGTTGCACCTTTTTAACACTTCCCACACATCTACATTTGGGTGCAGCCATCCTGCATTATCATAACTACGCTCTTTCGGTGATGCAAAAATTGAAACACTGTACATGATGCGTTATCTAACCCATAAATAAAAATAAAGCAATGCTATTTCTGAGAAACTGTTTTGCATAATTGTAGAAAAAAAAAAAAAAGTTAGTCCTTTCCCCTAACGGTGCACTAAGCAAAAACGGAATGGGTGGAAAAATGGATCCTAAGGAAAACGCTTGATCCTCTGGAAACGTATTTTGTCAGAGGGTAGTCTGGAAAAAATGGCGCACAAATGCACCTACATATATATGTGTGTATATTTATCTACACAATTACGTACGCTTATTTGCACACCTCTGTGGAGGCATCAGCGTGCTGACCTGGTGGCAAGCGAACAGCTGAGCACAGCCCAGCGGATATATCTCTGCCCAAGGGAAAATGACCAAAATGGCACACCCATCCTTCTATTTTCCAAAACGGCACTGCACTATGCTGATCCCTTTATGGGGACAAGGTACCTAAGTGCACACTCAGCATTTACAGCACTCCCGTGCTTTCACCCTTTCTTGGTGTATGTACACCTAGCTACCGTGTGTGCATGTCGAGCGAACACAGCAGGATGCTTTAAAAAAGGTGCCATGGCGACTGATTATTTTTTCAAATACTGCAATGGGATGCTGCAAAGCGGTAGGATAAGTTACACTACGTTATTCTGTGTTAAGTTATGTCATGCTATTTTATTTTTTTGTTTTTTTTACAAAGTTCAGACTTTTAAATTTCCCTTTCCTTTTGAATGACGGAAGACCGTACTAATTCCTCTACCATGCCCTCTCTCTAATTTTTTTTTTCCCCCCCTCGTATAATAAACTGTCAACGTAGTGTACCTACAATGTTGACGAGCATTTAAGCATATGTACACATGTGTGCACATATGAGTCCTTTTTTTTTGTATTTCCCCTTTACAATTCTTTGTAGAATTATAAATCAAATTAGGGTAGTACAACATCAGGCATTAAAACCTAGCTGCATGTATTTGTTCTGTGTCTAGGTAGAACACCAACATATACACGTGTATGCGTGCAACGTATACATTTTCCGACTTGCATTTTTAGATCTCCGTTAAGGGTTTTCCTCACGGTTCATATGTGTAATGAACCTGCAGCGTCCTGCTTGACGGCAACTGCTGCTCGCTCTTTTGCATCTCTTTTTTTTTTTTTTTTTTTTCTGCCCATCTGCTACGCTTTCTTCCCTTCTTGCTCTTCTCTACTTTTTCTTAAAATGAACTGCGAAGACGAAAAGGAAAAAAGTAACAATTCTTTGACGCCTTACACGGGCGAAAAGACGAGCAAAAAAAAAGAACTTCCCCTTTTCAACGCATTTGATGACTTCAAAATTGATTATTCCTTCCACAAACAAAAAAAGTCTTGTTCTGGTGTAATAAAAAACTCATTAAATGATGGGAATGATAGCAGCTCTGATGATAACAAAGACGATTTAAAAAAGTTGATTCAAATTATAAACCATAACTATATCGATAAACATTTTTATTTTAAAAAATTAAGCATTCATGATTTGTACAAAATATTTGTCTACTCAAATTTTTTAACAAAGTCATTAATTTTATATCCTTCTTTGATTCCTCATTTTGAACGCATTATAGAGAAATTGAAAAAAATAAAACACGAACCTACCTTACCAGGAGTCGAGGATGACCATTTTGTGTTTCCTCCCCTCGACTTACCCCCCAACGAGGGTCATCGGCTGCAGGCCAGCAGCTTCATTCAGAGTGCGGCCTTAAGCAGTGGCCTAGTTAAAAATGAAACAAATACGACCCAAGATGCTACACAGAACGCAGAAAAGAAAGCCTTTCTTCTGAACGTCGGCAAGGACTCCAAGTCAAGGAATAGTTTTATATCTACTGAATTAGACGAAGAAGAAAACGACATTGGGCAAGGCGAGAATGCACGAGGAAGACACCCATATGGCACAAGATATAACCATCTGACAAACACAAACTGTGACAAAATAAACAGTGGATCCTTCTCCGAGGTTCAAAATAAAGATAAAATTTCCAATTGTAATTACAACAGACAAGCAACAGAACAAAAGAAAAACTCAGACTTATTTCCATATGAAGGACCATCCAATTATGCACCTGCAAATGTAGGGATAAAAAATGCTCCTCTGAACTCTACAGTGAATGTGAAGAGCCCATGTGCTGTCCATAATAGCCACACGAAGAATGCCACCTCTGAGTACGATCGGGGTAATGGGAATAATGGCATAAGTAGAGACAATCCTAGCGTATCCATCCCATCAGTGGACAAGAATGTTCGTGTTTATAAAAACATAAATGAGTATGACATAATCGAGCTCAAAATAAGCGCTTCTTTTAACAACAAATATATATGCCGATATATAGGTAATATTTCGATAGCTATCAACAAGCTATTTTTGTACCTCTGTTTTTTTTTTTTTTTTTTTT